AGACAGGGGACAGACCAAGCCCAATGATGCACACAGCAAACCAAGCCAACATAAAGAAGGGGAAAAGAGGGGCGGAGGCAGGGGGAGGGGACGACAATAAAGGGGGGAAAGACAAAGGCATTGGGGGGAACAGGGCACTAATCCACCACGGGGAGGGTACTGTCTCTCCAGCAGTGGTTTATGTCTCCACAGCAGCAGTTCTCAACCTTCCCAATACCGCGACCCTTTAATACAGTTCCTCATGTTGTGGTGACCCCCAACCATCGGAAATGTGTTTTCCAATGGTCTTAGGCGACCCCTGTGAAAGGGTCATTCGACCCCCAAAGGGGGAACGTCCCACAGGTTGAGAACCGCTGCTCCACAGGAAAGGGAGAGGGACCAGACCTCAACCTGGTGTGCCAAGCCTTGAGGACAACATAGTGGCATGAAGTAGTGAACTAACAGAGAGGTCTGTGAGTCTGGGCCGGCCCCATCCCAGCTACATCAACTCCCCTCCCCAAAAGAATACACTATAGAGGACAGCACTGAAGATACAGCCCGGGGAAAATGGCAAGTCTTCCCAGACCACACAGGAGCAAACTTCGCAGACCACATTGGGTAGAGGGGGGTGGGGAGGTGGACAGCATCCTGGCCCCACCAAGCTTCAAGGACAACATTCCCACTTGGAGCAGTCAATGCACAGAGAGAACCATAGGGTCGGCCCCACCACAAGACACAATGTCCCCTTACTGACCCACAGTACTTCAGGGGCCAGCACAGAAGTCACAGTGTGGGAATTGTGCCCAGTCTGGCCCCCCAAAAAACCAGGGCATACACAAAGGGAGCTCAATAGAGCAGCAAAGGGATCAAAGCAACAAAGTCCCCAAGGAATTATGAAAATAGACTTCAGACTGGGGGGCAGGGCTTGGCACAGCCTGGCTTGCCAAGCAGGGCTTGGTATCAGACCCGATCAGAAAACATTCATAAGGGTCAGCAGATAGATCTGGAACTATTCATAGGTTTTTCTTCTTTTTTTCCGTGTTTATTTACATAAGCTAATCGGGATAAGCAATACCGAGAGTTTTTCTAATAACCTGGCATTCTGTGATGCTCACCTTTCTGACAAGACCGCTTAAGACAAAAGGGGTGCATAAGCTAATGTGGCAAAGAAAGCTGATGGTGCCCAGCTATTATAAGATATAGTGACTGGGGTCTTAGGCTTTAAGTTAAATAAGTGGCCATCTAGCAAGGGAGCAACAAAGCCCACATGGAAGAAGCACACCAACCAGTGTGATCACGAGGTATCGATGGGATCAGATTATCAGGCATCAGAAGACCTAAAACAAACAACCAGATTGATGCAAGTGAGGGGGGTTGGAATGGAGACCCAAAGCCCATCTGAAGACAATTGGACCTCCCCTCACAAAAGGGTCACAAGGAAGGGATAAGCCAGCCAGCATGCAGTATA